ATATTTATTTTTGTGGTTATCCTGTCTGGAGCCAATGCTTAGCTGTCTCAGATGCTTTCCTCAGACCCCAGAAAACCTGACCAGTGGGTGACCCCACTCGCCCCCCCCCCCCCCCGAAGCTGAGGCAGGGGCTGCACTGAGACAGGTGCCAGGTAGACAGGAGGATACTGGGCTGTTGCTCAGCCTGGCTCTGGGGACTTTGGGAAGAGAAGCCAGGAGGCGAGGCGCGTGTGTGCCCGCCCGCCCACCGCCGCCTGCTGCACTGCTGGGAGAGGAAGTGCAGTCGGTTACCAATCGGGTTATTTTCATAACGGCTGTCTCAGGCTGGGGGAGGAGGGTGGCGAGGGGGAGGGGCAGAGGAGCAGCCACAGCAGCTCACTCTCCAAACTAGGACTTGCTCAGCCGGAGGCCGGCAGCCTGGAGCTGGAGCTGGAGCCAGAGCCCGGCTTGCCTGCCAGCAGGGACCCCGGCCCCCACCGGCTCCCCCACCTCCTGCCTGCCTCCCTGCCTTCCTGATCAGGTCAAAGGGGCTCCCCTCAACCTTTCCTTGCCTTCTGCTCCCTCCTCTTCTGGATCTGTCTGGGTGGGTCTGGGTCTGGGTGGATCCGGGTGGGCCTAGGCACCACCATCCCCAGTCAAGGCTCCTGAAGCTGATGGAAAGGGAATGGGAAAGGGTAGGCTAAGCTCCTGTGCCTGCCAGGGCAGCCCCTGTTGAGGTAAACATTACTGGCCCAGTTGCCTCCTTTACCTTGCATCCAGGCCCCCCTGTTCCTCAGTGTGCATTTTGGTTTGGCTTGGTTTGGTTTGATTTTGGCAGGATCCCTTTAGTGAGTAAAGACCTCGAAATCCTGCTTTGCAGGGCCCCAGGCAGGCCCCCCGCCTCCTTCCCTGCAACCTCAGGGCTGTGGGAGCAAAGCAGCCAGAGGTGGCTCTGATCAGCTGTCCCCTAGGGAAGCAGCTCCAGGCCCCAGCTCTGGAGCTGCTGCAAGTGTGGCCACCACACACCATTCCCAGCCTTCACCAGGAAGAGGGGCATGTGGGGCCCTGCACACAGCGTAGAATGTGCACTCTGGCTGAATCCCACAGGGTGGCCTCTAGTGGCAGAGGAGTCCCTAGGGACCAGGCCTGGTGCCAGGGGCAGCAGGCATTTGTCAACAGTATGAGCAGATACCCAGGTGGCTCCTTCTGCCAGGCTCTGTTCCTCGTGTGGTGGGTGGTGGCCATCCTGGGTACTTCTGCTTCCCTTTCTGGATTCCCACCCCCACCGTAGGCAGAGACAAACCCCAGGGGGGTGGCATGATCCACACAACCTGATGTCTGCTGTGGGTATAGGCCCTGCCATGTCCCTTCTCAATGCTGGGCATTGTCAGGTGCTTTATATCATCATCTCATCCGAATCTCCCTTAGATCAAACCTTCTAAACTATGTAGTATCATGCCCATTTTGCAGATGAGAAAATTGAGACTCAGAAAAGCTTGTTGGTCAGTCCAGAAAAGCAGTGGTAGACATAGGATTCCAAAGCCCATGGGCTCTTCCACTGAAATGAACATAGGGGATGAGACAGTTTGGGCTGGGAGGCCAGGAGTCCCAGCCCTTCTAGCCAATAGCTGTTGAAGCTGGGACACTCATGTCCACTCACCCCCGGCAGCTGCCTCAGCTCAGCCGCCCGCAGCCGCACTCGTTGCTGTTCATCAAGGGTGCAAGCCAGACAGCACCGTGCACATCTCTGTGTGGCATCCTCTGTCCTCCCCAGGCTCCCTGCAGCCGACCGGATGTTGGTGGGGCCCATGAGTCCTTTCCCCGCTATCCTCTTTGGGTGTGACAGGCTTCCCCCAGGTTCCCCACCAGGAGGCTGTGGGGCAGCTGTTTTTCTCTGCTGTTGGTGTCAGAACCCTGTAGGGCCTCCTCCGGTGACCTTTACATGTACTGTGTGGGGAGTGGAAGGTGACAGAGCATGAGGTGAGAGGAAGCTGCCGCTCAGGCCTGTGCTGTGGGAAGAGGCTTCAGAGCAGGCAGAAGAAAGGCTGGGACAGGCCTGGGACCAGGCCTGGCTTCTGACCCGACTCAGAAGAAGCCTCGGCAGACGTAGGAAGTCAGGAGTCAGGCAGCTGCTGACCAGAGGACAGGGGTTTCTATGGAGACCAGAGGAACAGGAAGCCTCGGGCCTGGGGGCAGGGAGTGCTGGGAGTATAGAGGCGTGGGTGCCTTAAAGGAGAGCTTGTCATAAAATGTCAAATCAGCCAGTCTGACAACCTCCTTGGACAAACAAGGAAACTGAGACCCACGAGGGGACTGCTTTGCAACGGTCACACAGCACCAGCCTGCCTTGCTCCCCCTTGTAGTGACTGCAGCTTCAGGCAGCTGAGGACACCTGTGGGCAGCATGTGGGCCAGAGCGCCAGGGAGCACTGTGTGGGGAGGTGGTGGGCAGGCGACCTCCTCCTCCCGGCCCCTCTTGTCAGCCTGGGTCTGGGTCTGGGGCAGCGGGCAGGGTCACCCCTCACTGCAGAGCGCCTGCCACCCCTTCCCCCACTGACTGTGGCCTTTTGTTTTCTGGGTGACACTAGCATCAGGTGGTGTGTTCGGGTGACTAATCTCCAGGCTGGGCAGCTGTCACGGGGCGGCCTGACCAGGCGGGTGGGGAAAGCTGACACCCTGGGGGAATGCTGTCAAGCCTGTGCTCTGGCAGCAGGGGGCAGCTGGGCCTTCAGGCTCCTCTTCCTAGGTGCAGAGTGGACCCCACGTCAGCAGACCTGGGTTCAGGTCCAAGTTCTGCCGCTGACCAGCTGTGTGACCTTAGAGCCTGTTACTGCACCTCAGTTTTCAGTCAAGCCTCAGTTTCCTCTTCTCTGTAATGGAGCCATTGATCTGCCCACCTCAAGGGTGACAGAAGGGCTCAAACGAGATGATAAAGGAAAGCACTTGGCCCAGGGCCTGTCTCATAGTAGGTGTTCAGTGAATGGGACCATTACTGTTCTCATGATGGCTCCCTTCCCTCCCCCACCCCACCATAAACCCAAGACAGGGGACCCTCCTCTCTGCCACATCTCTGAGCACAGGCTTTGCCCTCAGGTGGAGGTGAGTTCCAGCACTGGCTCCACACCAACTAGCTGTGCACTTTGGGCAGGTGACCTCCTTGTGCCTCAGTTTCCCATCAAGACGGGGACATGATACAGTATTCTTTAGGATGTTGAGGTTTATAAAATGGTACATGTGTTTGTAAAGGGCTTAGTACAGTACCTGATGCGTGTGGGCACTCAGTAAAAGTTAGCTGTGAAGGTATTGATTTTAGGAGGAAGCCAAGAGCTCTCCTGGCCTTCTCCCTGTCACCTGCAAAGGCTGGGGACTATAAAGCAGAGGCCCAGAGCAGGCAGGCCCAAACACTGCCTTCACCACTCACTGGTCACAGGAGCTCACACACCTTGGCCCCCATCTGCCTCCTTCTCAGTACCCTCCCTCCCATCCAGGGCCCCGGCCTGCCTGACCCACAGGGCAGTAGCAAATCAAGCGTGGGGATTGCGGGTGGGAGGAGTAGGTGTTGGACATGCAGCCCAGGCCTGATTCCTCAAGCCCATCATCTCCCACCATTTGTCCAGGGCTTCTATCCTCCAGGCCTAACTTCTGTGAGAGGCCCTCAGCCAGCAGAAGTATTTCTCTCTTCAGCCCCAGGCAGATGTCCCTTGGCCATGGCCCAGACCTCCTGGTGGCTGCCAGGACCCAAGAGAGTACTTGATGGCGGGACACAGGTGGCCCTGGGCACTCTGGAGACATTGCCCCCCAGAAGCGTGCCAGGCTCCCTGCCCTTCCCCCACTATGAGGAAGAGGTGAGGGCCACTGTGCAGAAGGGGCAGTGGGCTGGGTGAGCTGGCAAAGAAAGTGGAGCCCATGTTCAAACCAGGTCAAGGTGGGTAGCTTGAGCAAGAACTGTCCCCAAGGCTCCTGCAGGAGGGCGCTCTGGGCAGCTCAGTGTCCGGAATTCTGAGCATTCAAGTTTCTAGCATTGGCTCCCTGGTCCAGTTGCAGTTCACAGACTCCCGCAGCGGCAGAGCTGGAAAGGTTTTCAGACATCGCCCAGCACTTTTACACACAAATGTCTGCACTGTGCCTCTTCAGAAGGATGAGACCAGAAAAGTTCCTACCATTAGCCCTTCAGAGACAGAGCACTCACACACCCAGAACCCAAAGGCTCTCTCTTGGCTCAGGTCCCTAGCGGCTTCCCACAGCAAGTCCCCCGGTGGCTTCCTGCACTGTACAGCTGCCTCTCCAGCTCTCGGGGGCCTTGCTTCCCAGGGGCCTTCCATCCCTAAGGCAGATGTCAGATCCTCTCCATTTCTGACCCCAATACTGAGGCTGAGAGTCTGGGGGTCGTATCAGGACTGAACTTTTCTTCAGAGAGCCTCATTTTCTTACCATGGCTTGGTTCGTGCCATGTCCCGGGAGGGGACACCTAAGCCTAACCTACTCTGTGTTGGTGGCAAAATAAAGGCCCAACAAGAGAAAAAGCCTTGCCCTCAGCCCTTCAGTCTATCTAGGCTGACTCCAGGCTTCCAGCTTCCTTTTTCTTTTCCATCAGCTTCAGGCAAGGGAGTTGAAGTCCTTTAGGCCAGAGCTTTATGGATCATGGTGCCTGGACTAGGGGAGGCAAATGGGTAGCTGTACTCCTGGGGCAGCATGGGGCGGAACCAGGGAGAGCGCTAATGCATCCAACAGCAGTGGCTATGGGCTCCCTGCTGGATCCTCTAGTAGCCCCAACACCCCATTTACATAGATCAGAGGCCACGGACCACTCCCTTTCCTCCTAAGTGTCCCTTCTCTGCTCAGAGGGCAGAGGCTATGACTGGGCTTCTGGGCACAGGACAGGCCCTGGCCTGACCCAGCTCCTGATGCTCCCGGTCTCTGTGCCCAACAGCCACCCGCCTGCCCCTGCCATGGAGACCTTCTTTAGGAGACGCTTCCAGCGGAAGGCGCCAGGCCC